ATATATATATATGTACACACACCATACTCACACATGCACTCACGCATTATGTACATCCTAACTAGCAGTATATAGTAACACTCAACATATGTCGTACAAAAATTCGGAATAATGTCGAAATCTTTGTTTTTTGTTTTTGCCAGTTTAGATGAATTAAAAAAGGATATCCTAAGGAAATTCGTAATTTCTCCATTGAAGAAAAAAGACTTAATGTCATGAATGATCGCAATGTAATGTTTATCGTGAAATATGCTTTTGCTAGACACGCTAGAGCACGCGAATGTTTAATTGAAAATTATACCAGACTCGATGAACTGCATGTCTTATGATATGTGTGTATAAAGCGATAATCGAATCTTCTACGTGATTTTTGTGTATATCGGGTGTTTCTTTAAAAGCGTGCAAGGCGAAAGCCGATTTTGTTTATCGTCGAGTCTCAACATAATTGAACATTTCTTGGTATTGCTGAAGACAATATATGAATCTATATGAAACACGGCAAAGATAAATAATTGCGGCGTACAAGATTGCGTCGAATCAAATTGAATCCGAATCAACGTGTAATATAAGAATCAGTAAAAACAAGATAAAACGGACAGATTAATATTCTGGAGAAAAACGTAGCGCACATCGAAATAGAGATCAACCATAAATAATTTTGTACCCGCTTATTCCAGCTCTATTCAATATCGACCAGTTAAAAGCCGGACTTCGCGAGTTCTCTCATACTTATGTGTACAGTTATATTTAGATACATAGAAGGCGTCGAAGCTGCTACATATAGTAAACCATGACGTGCGTATATGCGATTACGAGTACAATTACTTTTTTGGAAGGTCCTTTTGGAATGTCCATACATTATTAACTAGCACACGTTAAAAATAATGTTCAGTCACTTTACAAGTTGCTGCAGACTCTTCCGAAAGGGAAAGACGGCCATGTTCCGAGAAACGCAGATGAATACTTTCGTTACATACTCTGCGTGTATGAATAAAAAGTATATAGTACTGTACACAATTTTCCTATTAGTTTCTATCATTACGCAGATAACAGAAAATCCTCAGAGCTGAGAACATTCAAGCTGGCAAATTTAACGGTTTTACGAGGTATTTTAAATACATTATCGCTGTCACACAGACATTAACATAAAGTAAAGACGTATGTGCAAAAGTAATGTATGTGAAAAAGTAATCATATAATCACGAGTTTAAATAACTATATTACTTTTACTGTACATAAGAAGAAAATAAATATGCGCGCTTCACTCTCGCTCTGACTATTTTCGTGCGACTTATTGAGTCGTTCATATACAATATATATGTAAGTTGCAATTTGCGGCGCAAATTATGAATATACGTGATGACAAATCAATTTGACGTCTGCGAAGAGAAAAGTACGATCACGCTTTAATATTGAAATATAATGTTCCTTTAAATAAGACACGTGTCTAATTCTTTAAAACAATTGGAATTGGTGATACGTCAGAAAAAAACAATATACCGATATACCGACAACGTAATGTACATAAAATTGTTTTAATGCATATGCATTTTTTATCAAACTACTAAGCAGAATATTAACAGTATGTTAGCAGTTTGGTAGCAAATTCAAGCAAAATATTATAATAAATTGACATTAATCACAATCGCACTCAGAATCTATATTATGTTTTAAACATTTAAGTGGAAAATATCATTTATGAAACGGCAGATTTTATAGTTAATCTATAATTAATTTATCATTAAATTCTATTAACAGATCTCTGTTGATGTTTTCTGTCAAAATTTATAGCAGACACTTTGTAAAATCGATAGGTCTGGCTATCTAGAACATTACGTCGTATCTCGAAAATGCCGATTGCATCTTCCTTGCGTATGTCTAATCGACACAAATCAATGCACACGCATATATATATATATATATATATATATATATATATATG